TGGTTGGCGATTAAAAATTTAAGATTTGTCCATTCTTTCAACTATGAACAAAATACCACTTTGTTTTTACAATTTGAATTAATATTAGCCCCACAATATAGGATTTATATTGTTATATGCTACTCTAATACCTATGTCTGATACGAGTACGTGTTTAAGTGTCCGACTTGACTATTTTGTTAAAATTTTGTAGGATTTTAATTTAAAATAAAATGTCAAAATGTCTTATATATGTTTGAGTGTCAAAGGTCCTACACAAATACTTGATACATGTACATTAAAAAGTGCTAGAAACATAGATATTGTTATGCCAACCCCTCTAAATTCCTAGACAAAATTTTGATAAAGAGATTAACACAACCACGCTCAATTTTTTTTTATTTTATTTTCTAATACATACTGACAAAGATTTAGGATGTTACATATCGGGATCATAATTGAGGACTGCATGTGCCTGGTATTTAAGTATAAACACTGATAGTGAGACACACGATTGAGCTTGCTGAAAATGTAGTGAGATTTTGTTATATGTACACTGGTTAATGTGATTATGCCCTTTGTTTTTCTTTCCTTATTTAGTCTCAAATTAATGTTGAATTCCCACTTTGCAACACTTTGTTATACACTTATTTATCGGGTTGTGAAAGCACAAACTTCGTTATCGTCATTAAAACTTTGAACTTATGGGATGATGAAAAAGCTTACACAAAGAAACAAGCATAGAAAAGCATAATTAACGGCTCATTTGGTAAGTGGTAATAAATTGTAGGTATGAGAATGAATTTATGAATATTTTGTAAGAATGGATTCATCCCAAATTGTGACTTTTTCTTCACAGAATTTCATACATATACTTATCATTTGAGAGATAATTATTTTTTTATTAACCATTTGAGAGGTAATATTGGGTGGTAATGGAAGTCTATAATATTACTATATTAGCACAAGTTTATGTATAATTGCACTACTAAGAATATTAGGATGTAAATAACCAAACTTTGATCTCAATAAGGATATTTATTGAATATATAGTAAATCAATAACTTACATAGTTAGAAGATAGGTTACTTTAAATTATGTTGAGTAAACAACAAACTTTGCATTGTGGACTAATTAAGGACTTTACGCTTTAGAATTTCCTGCTTAGATCACGGAAAGCTTTTATCAATAAAGTGTATACCAAAATGATGTGATGATGTAAATAAGTTATTAATATTTTAAAGGGAGAATTCGTTTGCCCCTGGCCCTGGTTGATTCAATTACTCGTGGTCTCATGGACAACATCAACAACATCTTGGAGTCATTTTCCGCCTACAATTCCCTTCAGTATAAAAAAAAGCCCATGGCAACTAATGAGTTTGATGTCCGTTAATTTATGAAACTATACATTTATAAAAATTATAAAATAAAGTTTATATGATGAAAATACATAATATTAAATTTAACAATATTTTATATGATAATATTTTTTTTATATATTTTTTTTATACTTTGCATATGTATAAACATACCGTCAAAGTTAATACTTCATCTGTTTGAAATTAAATGACACGTTTATTTTATCACGTTTGTTAATGTAATCAATATTCAATTAAACATATATTTAATTAAAGTATTGTAAAAAATACTAAAAATTGAATTTCGATTAAAAACACAATGAAACGTATCTAACAAGATGCCACGTGACCATAATTTTTAAGATTTATTAATCACAAATGTTAGTCAAAACAAAATTTATGAATAATGTCAAAAATGATGGAAATACAAATTAAATGAATTATTCAAAATGTCATCAAGGATGCTAATCTAGCGAGTTGATCATGAGCTAAGGAGTGCTCAACTCGACTCGAAAACTTTTTACCTGTGCTCAACTCATGTTCGCTAAAGTTTTCAGTCAAAAAAACTTGCTCGATTCGTGCTCCTTAAAGTTTCGAGTCGAGTCGAATAACTCACGATATGCTCGTTAAGGTTTTGATCCTTCTAAAAGTTTAGGCCTTTATTTATTTTGTTCACTTTATATAGTTTTCTTTTTTATTTGTTTATTATTAAATATTTAATGTGTCTTTTATGATAATATAGATTAACTCTTATTAAGTGTCAAATTTTTTTAAACATGGTAACTTTATTTGTAAATTATATATTAATAAGATTTATTATCGAGTTGCTCACGAGCTTATCGAGTCGAGTTAGAGCTTTCTCAACTAATGCCCGTTAACATCTCGAGTCAAGCCGAATTCGAACTGAGCCAAATTGAGCCGAGTTTTGATCGAGTCAATTTTGAGTTGCTCGTGAGTTGCTGAACTCGATTAGCACCCCTCTCATGCTATATTAGTTATTGATGTGAATTAAAAACCCCTTAACTTAATAAAGAATCTAAAATCACACAAGTAACACAAGCCTTCCGAATTTCCTAAGAAAATCGAACACTTTAAGAACAACGAACTGGATATGACTTTGAAAACGACCACTGTACTCCTGGAACGAATTCAATGCCTACTCAAACTACTTAGACTACTCCTAGAATTAAGTATTTTGATGATCAAAACTTAAACTAATCCTATAACTAAGAATTGAACGTTCTAGTAATCAAACAACTCCTTGAATTGAAAACTAGCAAAGAAAAGTTTAAACAAAGTTAAACAATTTGTATTAAAACAATCTGATTTTTTCTATCTATCTAAAGCCACGAAAATTACCCCTATTTATAGACATAGGAGGCAATTAATTCTACTCCTACAAGGATTAGGACAAACCCTAACCTTGTGCTCCAAGCATCCTAATTAGAATAGAATTACTACTTCTAATTAGAATAGGAAAACTAATCCTAAACAAACTCTAATTACACTAGAAGAAAAAATAGAAATTAGCACCGGTTCAAAACCCCTCTATAGCACCGTTTTTGAACCATTGGTTATTTGAGGGATGCCAAAAGCCAAGTAAATTAGCACCGGTTCAAAACCGGTGGTAATATTTGTCAATAGCACCGGTTAATCGATGCCAATTTGTTGTTATTAGCACCGGTTAACCGGTGCCCATTATGCTTTAAAAAAATAAAAATAAAAAAATGATTTTTTTCACTTAAGAACCAGCCACCACAACTTAACCCAAATGTCCAAACCCAACTGCCTTCCCCCGACCTTACCTAGCCACTGCCGTCATCCAACAACCATCACCACCACAGCCGTCATCCAACCACCACCACCACCACCAATGTCATCTAGCCACCATCGTACACCACCACCACCGTCATCCAACAAAAAAGGCAAAAACTTAAAAAATTCAAAATTAGAAAATTAAATTAAAAATCTAGATCTTTATACAATTTACAAAATAATTTACATAATTTACTCAAAAAAATTACAATCTAAAATTACAAGTATAACATAAAAAAATAAAAAAAAAATAAAAAAAAAAACCTAAAATAGTTAAACAAACAAAAGCCTAAATTATAAACTAAATCAAAATAAAAAATTCAAAAAATAAAACCTTTTTCTTTGAACTCCAAAGAATCCCGTTCACCACTTGCTTGAACTCGAACAAGATTCGAACGAAAACATCTTGCTTGAACTCCAAAGAATCCCGTTCACCACTTGCTTTTACTCGAACAAGATTCGAATAAATTTCGAACGAAAATCGAAGACCTCACACTTTCTAGGACGTCTGACCGTATTGCAGCTCGGTGCTCGAAAAGAGATGGGAACGAAAGAGGAAGGAGAGATGAGAGTATAACGAGATGGGAACGAAAAAGGAAGGAGAGATGAGAGCAAAACGAAAGAGGAAGGAGAGATGAGAGCATAACGAGAGATGAGAAAGAAGGAGAGATGAGAGCAGAACCAGAGATGAGAGAGAAGGAGAGCAGAGCAGAACCAGAGATGAGAGAGAAGGAGAGCAGACCCAGAAAAGGAGAGAATGAAATAGAGAGGCAGAAGAGAGAGAGAGAGGGGGTAAAAGGTTTATAAAATTGCAATTGGCACCAGTTAACCGGCGCTATTTCTTTTTTTTTTTTTTTGGTTTCCATTTTATAAAACAAATAGCATCGGTTAACAGGTGCCATTGTATTTTTGCCCACCAGTTTTTAATAACCGGTGCTATTTCTTCGGTGCTAATTTTTATTTTTCTACTAGTGTTAACTAACTAAAAACTTTCCTAACAACCTTAGGAAGTTTATAGTATCTAAATAACATAAATTAAAACTTATCCTAAGTGTTTAAACCAAGAAAAAACCTTTCAAGTGATAGCTAAAAATTTGCAAACAAAACTCTAGAAAAACTAAGTATGAAAAATCATTCTTTTCATCTCGGAGCTGAAACTTGTTGCACGCGCCACCAAGGAGGGGCACGCGCCTGACCACCGTCACGGAGAGTCCAAGCCAGAGCTAGGGAGCCGGCGCGTGGTGGCTGGAACGACAAGTGGCTGCCGGAGTCGTGGATTCAAATGTGACATTTCTTCTTCTTTGCAAATCATGCTTCCTCCTTTCCCATTTAAGCTATTGAACCTTTCCTTGTTTATTTCCTTGTTTGGGCAGCCTATAATGGAGTTCTTTAGACCTTCTAAAAATGTATTAGATCCTTTAAAAGAACTAGCCTCTTGATTCACATTAGTTATTCAGAAAACAAGTTTTTTTTTTCTTAAAAAAAAAAAGTTATTTAGAAAACAAAGGTCAAATTATGTCAATAATTTTTGACACAACAAATCTGCATAGGTCAAACTATTGCATTAAAAAAAAAAGGTTTATAATATTTATGAAACAAAATACTTCTTATATTCATCAGTACCAAAACTTAAAATAAGGCTACCCTACACTTTGAGCACATTTTGAAGGGCACATGGAGCATGCACTAAATGACATAATTTCTCAAACCCCACCATTTTACAAATTGCCTTAGACCTCAATTCATTCTCCCCTCAATCCCCGCATCATTACCCGCCTCTTTTTCCTCTTTTTCTTTTTTCTTTTTTCTTCTTTTTACCCTTTTAATATTTGACTTACAAAGAGAGGGAACCACTCATACCAAACAATCTAAGGGTGTATAAATACACTATAACCAACATTCAATAAAACAACTCCCTAAATTTCCTCTGTTTTTTTTCTTCTTCTTAGCAATGGCATCCAATGTAAGATGCTTTTTCTTGCTCTTAGCCCTAGCCTTAGCCTTTTGTCTCCAAACTCATGCTAGAGATAGCAAGTTCTTTAGCAAAGTAAGCAAAGAAAACAAGGAATCCATTAGTATTGCTCCTATACAATCACCAACACTAGCTCCTTCTCCGTCGCCCGAACCCGATGTTGTCGAACATGGGTACGGGCTTTACGGTCAGGAGACTTACCAATACCCTCCTACAACCACAAACCCTACAAAAAGTGAAAATTTTGGTCAAGAGAAGTTTGTTTCTAGTGAAGAGTTGAGCAAGAACAACTTCAAGGAATTTGGAATGGGTTATTCCAATGACAACTTTAATGAGAATGGGAATGAGAAGAAAGGAATGAGTGATACTAGATTTTTGGAAAATGGGAAGTATTATTATGATGTTAATCAAGATGTTAAGGATGAAAGTAGCTTATTCAATGGGAATAAGAATGAGTATGTGACTGAAAGGCAAGGAATGAGTGATACTAGATTTTTGGAGAATGGGAAGTATTTTCATGATATTAATCAAGAAAGTAGAATTAATGAGGGTAGAAATGCTCATTTCATCACTAACAACTATGAAAATGAGAATGAGAATGAGAATGAGAACGAGAATGAGAACGAGGAGTTTGAGGAAAAATTTGGTCATTTCAACACGAACAACTTCAAGGATGAAAATCACAACAAAAACGAGAAATTTAACAACGCGGAGAAACAAGGGATGAGCGACACGAGGTTTTTGGAGAATGGGAAGTACTTCTATGATGCCAAGAATGATCATGGAGTTGGAGATGATGTTGGTTTTCACAACAACAATAATGTTGAGTTTGCCAATACTTTCTCTAGGAATGGGAATGAGTATGAGAACGGTAACAATGAGTATGAAACACAAGGAAGAGAGGGTTATAATTATTATCATGGTAATGATGAGTATAATGTGAAAGAAGGAAGAGAAGGTTATAAACCCAAGAAGTTTCCTAGTGAGTATGATACAATGGAAGAATATGATAGGGAACAAGGGTACATTAATGGTCATGAAGGTGAATATGTACCATGATTAAAATTTAGTAGAGTTATGTCTAAGAAAAAATGATTTTAGTTTGAGAAGATCAAAAGGGTTTATAGTTTTTTGTTATACTTTTGTTTTTTAAGTTATCAAGATGTATGAGTCTTGTTTGGCAATTTTAGCTTTTAGTTATTTGTGTAAGCTAAAATTAGCCAAAATTATGTACTCCGTATTTTTCTTATGTTGGAAATGCAACTTTGAAATTTAACATCAAAAACGATTCTCACGGATTATAAAAGCAACAATAATACTTTTTCATTTGATTAGTTATTAGTGTTATAGCATGAACTTTATTAAACTCACTCAGTCACTACCCGTCCTAATCTCCTAAATCTTTGTTTTTTACATTTAACAATTTTGTGTATAAAAAAATGGAAGGGAAATGTTAACTTGACTTCTAAAAGAAAATATAAAAAAGTTCAATCAATACGTAAGAATGAAATAGTAACAACTAACAATAAATAAAGAGTGGATTTCCCAAAAATCAACCTTAATTAGGAAATTTTGATCTAGAACTACCCTAAAGATGGGGTCATTAGTGAAAAACTACCCTTTTTTTTTTTTTTTTGTTGTTGTTGTTTTGAAATACCTACAAGTTATGAAATATTTGGGTAGCACTACCCAGTAACGTTTTTCGTCCAATTAAGTTGTTATTAGGGCCCGCTTTTTCACTTTTCCCACCTAATTAACTCCCCCCAATTGTCTTCTCTCTCCTTCCTAATTAATTTTCCCTCCATTCTTACTCAAAAATCCAAGAGAAGATAATCAAGCAATTGAACGCAAATTCTCAGTAATTCAAGCAATGTTTCACACTTTTCTTTTAATTCATTGTTTGTTGTATTTGTTTACAAATTTTAATTGAATGCAATTAACATAATTAGATTTTAAATTAGTATTTAGATTAGGGTTTATGGGTTCAAATAAATTTGGGGGTTTTGATTTCTAGGGTTTATGGGTTCAAATAAATTTGAGGGTTTTGATTTCTAGAATTTGCGTTCAATTGCTTGATTATCTTCTCTCGGATTTTTTGAGTAAGAATGGAGGGAAAATTAATTAGGGAGGAGAGAGAAGGTAGTTGGGGGGAGTTAATTAGGTGGGAAAAGTGAAAAGGTGGGCCCCAATAACGTCTTAATTGGACGGAAAACATTACTGGGTAGTGCTATCCAAATGTTTCATAACTTACGGGTAGTTCTAAACAAATAAAAAAAAGGATAGTTGTTTACAAATGACTCAATCTTTAGTGTATTTTTAGACAAAATTTCCTCAATAATAATTAGAGAAAGATAAATTACCTTGGCGAGTAAATACTACTGAGTAGAAATGTTGTATCTTTTGCTTTATTATTATTTCGTCAAAACAAGGGCATGCTCATGTCAACTTTCAACACTTGCCAATCAAAGGCTTCAAGGCTAACCAATAATCTTTAAATGCTAACAAAAATGATACTTCTGTTTTGTAATAATAGCAACACTTTTTTATTTATTTTTTTTTTTTTAATTTTTTTTACGCTGGTTTCATAATAATTGCAACACTTTTTTATTTGGTAAAGACGCACTATTATATTATCCCGTATTATTTCTTCTTTCCACTAATCCCACTTTCACAATTATTTATTACAATATTTTCCTCTTCTACTAACTCCACTTACATAACTTTTTTACTAATTCATTATGCTGAACATAAATTATTTTTACTGAACTTATATTCTTTTTACTGATTCTCTATTATATTTCATCCTTGAAATTACTAATCTTTACTTAATGGAACTTATTTTTACTTACCTGAAATTATTTTTACTAAACTGAACTAATTTTTACTAAACCGAAATTATTTTATAGAATATTATTTTTGTAAGGTGAAATGAATAGAGATTCACGACTTCCTCTCTCACAGAATAAATGACACATTAAACTTTTTTTCACTATTCAAAAATAAATTAAACTTTGACTATAATTTTTTATTAACATTATAACAACATATTTCATCATAAAATATGTTGTTAGATAGGAATTGATACAAAGTTTCATAATATAACTTTTTTTTAATAATTTTAATTAATGTTCATTTACGTGGGAAAAAAAAAAAAAGTCAGATTAATGCATCGACACGTGTGCAAAATTTGACCATGTTAGTTATATACTTTATAATCCTCTTTTGGTCCACACCATATCAAATTTCTAAGACTTTAGTTTTTGCATCATAATGTGCAGTTATTACGAAATGGAGATAAGTGTTGTAGTTTCCTATGATAAGGATGTAAACTATCTTAAGATGAAATGATGAATAATATCTTCCAATTAGAGAATTAAATCAATGAAAAAGATAATGTTGAATTTATGTACTCCCTCCGCCCGCAATTATTTGCAACATTTACTAAAACTAGGTGCTCTCTATTATCTGCAACAATTTTTTTTATTTCCTCTTTTGGTAAATTTTTAGCAATAAAATATCAACTTTACCCTTACTTAAAATTTTCAACTTTGTTTACAATTTGTTAATTACATTGACTAACCAACTAATCCACCACCTTACCCAAGCCACCTTCGCCGCCCCTACCACCAGCCCAGAGCACCAGCACCACTGTCATTCATCGCACAATTCTCCACCACCTTACCCCAGCCACCTTCGCCCCGGCACCACCGCAATTCGTTCACAATTCGTCGCAATTCCACCGCAATTCGTGTCGTCCGCAATTTGGTGGTGGTTTGGGGGGTTTCGGGTGGGTTTCGTGGGTTTGGTTTTCTGGGGTGATGGGTTTTGGTGGTGGTTTGGGGGGTTTCGGGTGGGTTTCGTGGGTTTGGTTTTGTGGGGTAGTGGGTTTTGGTGGTGGTTTGGGGGGGTTTCGTGGGTTTGGTTTTGTGGGGTGGTGGGTTTTGGTGGTGGTTTGGGGGGGGTTTCATGGTGGGTTTCGTGGGTTTGGTTTGGGGGTGGTGGGTTTTGGTGGTGGTTTGGGGGGGTTTCGTGGGTTTGGTTTGGGGGGTGGTGGTTTTGGTGGTGGTTTGGGGGGTTTCGTGGGTTTGGTTTGTGGGGTGGTGTGCTGGTTCGTGGGTTTTGGTGGTGGTTTCGGTGATTTGGGTGGTTCATGGGGTGGTGCGGTGGTTTGTGGGTTGGGTGTTGGTGGTTCGTGGGGTGGTGTGGTGGTTTGTGGGTTGGGTGTTGGTGGTTCGTGGGTGGTGCGGTGGTTGTGGGGTAGTTGTTCTCCATTCATTAATTGTGTGTTTTATTTTAGTTTAGTTTAATTATCCCTTATCTCTCCTCTTACTTTTCAATAACCTTGTTTAAGAAGTTTTTCCTAGGAGTCCGAACTTCTGTCCTTTGTTGCAGATAACCTCGGGCGGAGGGAGTACAAGGCTAGAGGTGTCAAATCGGGTATTCAAGTCGGGTTCATGTTGATTAGGGGATTTCTCTCGCCACGTGGACCAATTACACTCTGCCACGTGTCATCCACGTGGCCCAACCAGAGCCTGCCACGTGTCACCTCGTAAGAGGTCCAAGGTGGACCAATCAGGCCACGACACGTGGCAGGCAAATTGCCAACTGGGAAAGTGGTCTTTAAAGGCCCAAATACCTAGGCAAGCCCAGTCAGTCCTAGGTTTCCGAAAACCTAGTACTGGGCACATATTTTCGGACCCTATAAAAGGGAAATGTTCCCCCTGAGGAATATCATTCAGAAATCATTAAACACACGCGTACATTACTTGCTGAGCATTAACTCCAGCTTTAATTGCGCTACTTGAGAGCTAAGGCTCGGATTCCGAGACTGTCTCAGACAATCGGATGATTACTCCCCTTTCGAGAGGAGCCTGATCCCCTTTACTTTCTGCATGTTTACTTCCGAACACGTTCTAACTTGATCGTCGGAGGCGGAACTCTCACCCACAGGAGTCTCCGTTGTTTTGCAGGTACAGGCGTCCAGAGGTCAGTCTTGGTGTTGTAACTCTCCCGCAGGACATCAAAAAAAACCCCGAAACATTTGGCGCCGTCTGTGGGGAGAGTACTTCTAAGATGACTTCACAAGAACCTGTACCGCCTCTTAATGAGAAACGGCCCATGGCCGATATCCAGGTCTATATAGACCAGGATACAGATGACGACTGTGAGGTCGACACACACACGGCCCTTGACGAAGAAGAACATGCAACTGTCAGAGTCGGCCTCCACGTCGAACTTGCAAAACAACTTTTAGAATACCTCAATGAGGTATTCACAATCAAATTGAGAGAACCAGACGGGCGGAATGTCCGCCCACTCTAGTCCTCAGATGCTCCATACGGCCGCGTATGTGCCTCAACATCCATACATGTCGTATGGACAACATTATATACAGCCGACCCTCTTTGGGGGGCAGGCGACACACAATGTCCAGCCCTTGGATTGGCAGCTCCGACTGCTAAGACTGGGGGAACAACCCTCTGCTTTTTCCAAGGAAATAACAGAGGCTCCCCAGCCGGCCAAGGTGAAAAATGTGTTGGTAGGTGCCTATGACGGTACCACCAACCCAGAAGACCACCTGATGGCATACACCAACTTTATGTATCTTCAAGGGTTGGATGATGTTGCATAGTGTAGATGCTTCCCGGCCACATTAAAGGGCGTCGCCCAGCAATGGTTCGGCAACCTGCCAATCGGATGCATTAATAATTTCAAGATGCTTGCATACTTGTTTGCGTCAAACTTCTCAATGAATATCCCTGCAAAGAAAACAAGTCTTGACTTGGGAGCTATACAGCAGGGAGAGAAGGAGGGCCTATGATCATAAATCAGGCGGTTCAATCTGATGAAAATTCAGATTCAAGGATTGTCTGATGAGGTGCCTATACAGACTTTTTCAAAGGTCTGAAAGACGGGTCGACCTTCAAATTCGACCTTGTACGGAAGAGGGTTGCTACCCTCCAAGAAGCACTAATGGAGGCGGACGCCTATACACAGGCGACCGAGCTATGCAACATCAGTAAACAGTCGGACTCAAAGAGGTTTGACAAAAAAGAGAGTCGGCCATTACAGCCGGATAAAAAAGAAACGAAAAGAAAAGAAGTCTGGGTGGCTGATACTTCTGAACAGCCGTCTCAGAAGAAAAAGAAAAAAAACAAAAACATACTCTCCAAAGTACGAATTCAATAAAGACAGTAACTCCATCCTCATGGAAATTAAGGACCGGGTCTCCATTGACGAGCCGACTGCTATGAAAGGTTCCGCCAAAAATCGGAACAAAAATAAATATTGCCACTACCATGAGGATATTGGC